TTGCAGGAAAACGCTGGTCTCCAAAAGTCATCACCTAGTTAGCATCCCGAACACCGAAAGCCGGGACAAGCTGGCCATGGAAGCCAGACTCAACCCAACAGATGTGCACAGAGCTGAATCACCCAGGAACGAAGAGCTTTGCTGCACCTGTTTTATCGAGTACAGAACAGACCTAATTTTACTGCAACATCAACTGAGGAATTTTTCACAGGCGCTGTAATCCACCAGAAAATTACCTTAAGCAGCATCTACTCCATGAAAGTACCCTTGAGAAATCTATCCCTTCATCTGGGTTCTCATCCAACCCTGCTACAGCCAAACTAACCTAATATATGTTGGCTAAAACGGGGCAGCTGAAAAACGATTAACAAAGAAATTCAAGACCTGGGCTGAAGGAAGGCAGATGTGTACGAGCTGGCCAACCACAAAAAATCCTCAGCAATTATTTCACCCCTGCTCAGGTCTCCAAACCAGCTACCCCAAAAGCTCTTTAGAAAACAGATGGTCCATAAGTCATCCCCTGCTGCCCAAGGTGAACGACAGGCTTTCTGAACCGCAGCAGACCAGCTCCCAGCGCCCCGGTTTTACACTGCCCCATTCAGATAGATAAAAGTTGCTTGTGTTAGATCAAGTCTGGAATTTGGTCCTCTTCATCTAACTTCCCCATATGCTCAGATTTCCCCCCCCCTCCCCTTTCTAAGAATCATTCTTCCCAGGACAACTGAGATCAATGGCAAATATCTAGTTATTGTAAAAATGTTTTGGCTTTCCTCCAATTAGAGCCGTCTCAAGACCAGGATGCACAACTAAAAAAGGGCAAGCTTGAGGTTTTGGGGTAGATTTTTGTATTTTAATTAGAACCTACTCATTCTTCATAACTTATTTTTAGTGTCAAGAATTAAAAAAAAAAAAAAAAAGAAAAAAAGCCCCTTTGATTAAACACTGTTTCACCAACTGGAGTCTTTTGAGAGCTGGAAGACAATGAGAATGTAATGTTTAGGACTTGTTTTGCGTATCTCTACATCCGGCATATATGAGTCAGTCACACAGAATAGAAGCTTGTTAAAAAACAGATGACGGGTGCAACAATTATTTGTGTGGGTTTTTATTTCTTTTAATAGAAAATTCTAATATAAAACAGCAAACATTTTCAGTTTGCCTTGTTTACAAAAATATTATATATTTTTTTATATTTCTGACATAACTAAATGCACTATTCAATAAAAATATTCTTCCATCAGCTAACTTCTCTTTAAAAAAAATTAATAAAAAAGTTATATAAATAATGGTTGCACCCCCCCACCCCAAAACTGATCTCGCAAGTCTTGCTGGATCAGCTTAGGAGAACCAACACTTTGACACTTTTGGGGGGACGGGGTGAAAGGGGATCAACAACCAGAGACCTCCCCTACACCCATCCATCCTTCTCCAGTTACATCTGCTGCAAAAACTTGTTTCTCTGGGGGTAAGAAAAAGGGAAAAAGTTTCTTTGCACTTTTTATATGAAATGACACCGTGAAAGATTCAGGGACTCAAATCCACTCTTGTAGTAGTTTACAAAAAGGTGCAATTTCATTGAATTGCACTGGAGATCCAATGGCGTGGTGGTAGAATTAGCCTCTCTGGAAAAACCCAATTTCATACAGCTGGAATGAACAAGGTTTTACAGGACACCAGCCAATGTTTTACAGAGGACTTCAGGTTCTCTCAGGTAGGGTTTTCTGGACTCGCGTATGGAGTAGCACAAGCAGGAGCTCCAGCTCCATGGGTTAATTCAATTCCAACACACTTCTATCACCAGCAGAAAACCCAGGTCAAGCACCTGAGAGGGTCTGACATCTTTTCCACCAGATGCTACTTATTTCATCTACTCCAGCTCCACTGGATTTTTCCACAATGAGGCTTCTCCCCTCCATTCCTTTTTCAATGATAAGGCAAACATCAGAAAACGCTGGAACTAAACACCCCCCCCACAAAAACACACACAACGTGGTTGGGGCAAGAAGAAAAAATAACCCACGTATGTTTTACCACCCTAGGTCAAAAGGCCAAGAAGACAAGTTCTCCTGATTTCAGAGTGTTAGTATATTTTATACACTGCCTATACATTTAACACATGTGCCTCGCTACTATTTAGTTATTTATAATTTTTTTTTAACCACAGGAGAATAAACCTTGCTATTTACAATATATAACAGGCAAGTAATATATCCACATTAACATAAATACAATTTGTTTTTTGTGGGGTTTTTTTGCTTTTTTTTTTTTTAAATACTTACAGAAAGCATCCAGGCTTCAGTGCGTGAGTTATAATACACAGAAGAGATCTTTCACTCAGTAGTTCATTCACTCTTTGACTCTTTCTTCTAGTCAAGCTTTGACAGTCTGCCTTATTGCCCACCCATCTCTCTCTCCCCCCTACTGCCAAACACACCAAGATACCCCACCCCATCTGACCCAGGCATTTTCTCTGCAACGATACCGATGCCAGCACTGCCCTCTCTTCTGCATCTAGGGACTCATTCTCCTCTCACACCAGTGCAATGTGGAGTTACTCCAGCGAGGTCAACGGAGACAGAGACACCAGTGAAAAGAAGGAAAATGAGGCCCATGGTTTAAATATAACAATAATAATAATTAATAATAATAATAATAATGCACATAAATTGTGGCCCATTCTTCAATTAAGAACAATTTTTTTTTTTTTTAAAGAATGGGGCCAGAAATAGTAATTCAGATCCAAAACCCCTCATGTTTTGAGCAGGTTTGGATCCAGCCCTACTTTGGAGGGGAAGAGCTATTCTAGCACACACACAGAAACGTAACAGTGAGTTTGCACATACGTGTGAGAGAGAGAGAGAGACAGAGGGAGAAAGAGAATTTAACATAATACCACATTGAAACCATAAGAAGGTCCTTCTGAAGGGCTTTACAATAAATAAATGTTCGTTCAATATTTATATATATATTTATGTGTCAGCGTGTGTGTATATATATACACACATGCGCACACTGAATAATAGGTTTCTAGTCAGTTTATTTTTTAAACCATTAGATAAACTGCTCGTGGGTGACTTTCAAAGCAGTGCATCTCCCAGAAGCCGTGAGACCTTCCTGCAAACTTTCTGCCTTGAATGCAACCACCACGCATTTGCCGTGGTGGCAGGGACAAACACCATGTGTGGATTCCTCCTTCTCCAGCGCTACCCCAACCTTCAGAATTGTACAGCAAATAAGCAAACATCAAAAAAGAGACAGTACACTTCACTTCGCAGGGCCACAGCACTATTAAGAGTAACATCCTGCCCCTCCCTATGCCCCCACCTCAAGATTTGACACCAGTGAGCCAAGCTGGACTGCAGGTATTTGTTACCAAAGGAAAAAAAAAATCTTTTCTCCTACCAGTAGATGCACATGAACAGCTTAAGTATTAGTGGCTACTTATTTGGGGGGAAAAAAAGATAAAAATAAAAGAAAAAAAAAAAAGAAAAGAAAAAACACCTTGAAAAATAATGGTCCATCTTGGAAAACTGCTCTCTTTTTGCTTGGCTAACATCTACTACTGCTCGAAAAAACTCCAGCCAGCTTTCCTCTTCTGAGAACCAGAGGAATGGCTTATATAAAATTGGTGGAAATTGCTTCTACTGGACAATCAAAAATTGCTACCAAAAATAAAATAAAATGCCCTCTGCTCTCCAGTGTTTCCTTAGAAAGCTTTGTTGAGGCATTCGCTGGCTGCTTCCAACCCGCCGTTACATGACTGAATATTGCCACATCTCGTCCTGGATTGTAAGTATCCTCTTCAAAGGAAAAAAGAAATGCTGAAGGTTGTCATCTATTCCACAGATCCACGGCTGCAGTCAATTTCTGGCTTTTCTGACCACTTGATAGGTTGTCTCTGCGGCGAGTAGTTATTCTGAATCCAACAGTTGGTTACCATTTAGCTGTTGTATTTTTTAAATACGGTTCTTGATCTAGTGGTTAAAAAAAAAAAATCTTAAGGTCATAGGGTTTACATACAGCTTGTGTCATGTACCACTGCCACGGTTTAGAGTAAATGGAATGATGACCTAGTAAAAGTCAACTCCTCCAGAGGTCTGATCCAGTCCAAAACGGCTGCTATATAATGCAAGACAGCGCTGCATTCCAAGATGCACTCGAATTTCTTTTGTCCTACTCAGAAAAACACATCCAAATTCAGCTGGCATTAGACTAAAAAGTTCCAGTTCAGATTTTTGAAGCAGTTACCACAGGGTGAATTTCATCAACAAGAGATGGGAAGAGGAGAGAAAAATAAATCACGCACAAAGTGAAAATAAAACAAAAGTATCTAGTGGTTGCTTTTTTAAAAAAAATAAAAATTAAGACAGCGATAGTGCTAAAGAAACTGCCTTTGAAGAAATTGTTTTAAAAAAAGAACATGTGATAGGACTGAAGGGGACAGGCACATCTGGTTTTCTACTGTCTTCCCAACCTCTTTCTTGGATATATTTCTGTCTGCAACATGGTGGACCCAACGTTTTCGGAGCTGTATTTGGTGATCAAAGCATGCGGATACGGAGCTGTCGTTAAAAACATTACCCTTCCAGTGGGTCTCTTTGTCAGAGCCTTGTTTGCTCAATGTGCAGAAACTCCACTGGAGGAACCATCAGGGCTGTTCCTCCTTACCCTACACACTTCTCTCCAGTTTCAGAAGGGGAAAAATGATTTGACCGCTTCCTGTACCATCCCGTTCAAAGCAGAAGGATCTTTCTTTCTTATCTGCTTAGCTTTCTAAGCAGTTGGGTAAGCTTCAGGAATAAAGTAGCGTAGGTTATTTATGCCAAAGAGAATATATTAGTCCACGTGTTCATGGAAAATTGGTGAAATGATCAAGATGTTCCAAGGATGAATGAACCATCAAACTGCATGGATGACTAAGGTGAAGGTCAACTGGTGTCTAACCCCAGTGTGACAGGCACTTATTTCCACATGGTTGGACCTCATTAAAATGCAGTCTACATGAAAACAAAACAAAAACAAAAAAACAAAACAGCAACACAGCTGGGTCACCTGTACCCTACAAAGTGCTTATGTCTCAACATAGCTTTCAGATCCCAGAAGGTCAATCAAACCCTGTTTGTCTCCATACGTAGTTCTCATAGATCGCCATCGCCCGTCACCGAGGGTTGCCACCAAGCAGAAGACACGTCAGTCTTTGCAGGTATAAACCTCTTCTCTCTGGGTGCATTGCTTGCATTCCACATAGCAGCACCAACGCACCTGGCACTGGCACGGACGGGTGACCACCCGGCTTTGCGTATTGTGCCCTCGCCCGCAGCAGATGCTGTCACAGTTCTTGTCTTTGTAACATTTCCTTCCCGAAGTCCCAGGCGAGTATCTACTCATCATACAGAAGCTCGGCGAATCGTCAATGTAGACAAGATCCGTAGTCCTTGGGATTTGATCACTGTGACCAGTGATGGACTTCTTGGGTGGAGAGATGTCTCCTTCCCCCGTGGCCTCGTTGGTAGTGCTTCCCACTTTGAGTGATGTCTCGTACTTCTGCTTCAGCTGCTTCCCTATTTCATGGAATGGAGAGAGCTGCCTCCAGCATGTTCGGACAGTACAGGATCCAGATACACCGTGGCATTTACAGGTTGTCTCCACTCCAGCCTTGATGACCTGCAGACACACACAGCCCCAACAGAAAATCAGTTATGGGGGAAGAAATCAAGGCACAGAGCAAAAAAATAATTTGCTAGAAGACACTCCTGGAACATGAAGTCGATGACAACACAAAAACTATCCACTGGAAGAGGACAGAAAACACACACTACAGGAAATACTTGTTTCAGAAGTTTCCACAAATACGACGTTTACCTGCCAGAACATGGTTTTATTGGCTACTAGTATAGTGGACGAAGGCTATCCAGTGCTGGCACTCCTCTACGTAGGCAGAGGTCTGAAACTGTGATCAATACATATTTTAACACCTATTTATATATTTTAGTAAGAACAAGGAGCTAAGATGTAGCAAAAGTGGAAAGAGTTGGTTTAGTGGACAGAAGAGGGAGAGCACTGCTGTAACACACACGAACACACGGGTGGGCTGGCACATGCTGGAGAACATGAACACGGACAGTAGGAACCTTCTCCATACCACAACACACAGGATACCACCTGAAACTCACATAGCTCCCAGTCAGCAGTACAGGCTCGGTGGAACCATGGTTAAGCTGTGCTTTTTCCACTAGTAGCGACTAGGCATAGCGTCCCACCCAGTTCACTTTGTGACTGACGAAAAACCTTCCCGTAGCTGAATTATATATATAAGCTCTTGAGAAGAACAGCATGAATCACCAAAAACAGCAGCTCCAAAAACATCCAGGTAACTTCCACCTCTCCAACCTGTGTTCAGGATCCTATTCCGGAGCGTGGTAGCATGTTCAAAAGGACCTGCCAATTTTTTTTCTGCTAGCAATGAAGCAGCCTGCATGCGCTCTTAAAAACAAAGAGTGCCATTGCTTGCTGGCCAAGCGCATGTTTAATGAAGCATGTTTTCACGCAGGGTGAAGCCCAAGGCTGCCGTGGCCTCCTCTGTGCCCTCCCTTTCTCTGAAAAATTAGGATGTGAAGAAATGGAACACAGACCTCTGTGTGAAGGGTTCAGTAATTCCAGGTGCGTTAACGCAGCTCCCAGGATTTACTCTGCCTGTGCCACCAGCTGTGGAAGGGGAATCTGGATTCTCACACAGATGATTTCAAGGGGAAAAAGACCTGAAATCTGGGTTGATGGTACAGTGAGAAGAGCCCATCCCAGTGGATTCAGTCCTCAGCCCATCAGGCAGCAACCCCTGGGGACTCCGATGGAGCTGGTGGCTGCAGGCAGGAGTAGGGGAGCAGCCTTCAATTTTCAACCAGAGAGAGGACATGGGGCAGTCACTCTGTAGGGACACATGGGGACTTTTTCAGTTCTGGCCATAGGAACAGGCTCCATGCACTAAAGGCTACACCCCTGCCCCATCACGAGCAAACAGGAGCTGCCCCACGTCAGGATGAGGAACCTCAACTGCCTTGATGCTTCAGCAGCACCTCGGGGTGAGCAGGTCCTGAGATTTGACCAGGCCATACAGTAAGCAAGGCCACAAGTGTTTACAAAGAACCTGACCCGGGGTGGGAAAGCCACTGAGCTAAATGCTGTGTCAGGCTTCTGGTGAGGGGATAACGGGAAATGGCATCACAAAGGCATTCAGGGGCTACTGCACCCAAATGTTGTCTACACAAGCCGCCATCCAGGGAGGAACAAGCTGCAAGGTTCAAGTCCCACACTAGCGTAACTTCTATAAGGTATTGGCAGAACCTCCTATAAGGTGTTTTCAACTAGGATGGAAATGTATATTTTATTTCCTCCACAAAAAAAACAGCGCACTTATGAGCAAGGTCTTCAAACTCATGGTGTAAAAGAAAGAGAAGGCATGTAAAGCCTTGGAAACTGAAGTGGATTCTGTCCCCCCCACCTCAGGACTGTCATGTTAAACTTTGTGCCTGCTTATGCCTCTGGACTACAACTATAAACAGCAAGGCTTAGTTTCAAATCTTTTCTTAATAACTTAATTTTTTTTTTATTTTAAAATTCAAACACTTGCAGCGGGTATTGTAACGAGAAGTAAGACTCATCTCACAGATCCCTAAAGGAGGGAAATAACGTGTTCATGATAACAGAAAGCAAATGCATATGTTTGATTTATTCCCAAAGCAAAAGAAAGTCAGTCTCCACACACATAGAAAGACATCCAGATCTTGCACGGGGAGAGCTTGCATGGGAATAGCTCTCTTCAGACCACCACACAGTGTAAATACAGAAGGAAGAGCAGAGCCAGCGGAACCACGGCATTCATGTACGGGATGGAGAGAAAGGAAAGAGAAAATTATTTGCAACAGAAAAAGCAGCGTGGGAAGGAGAAGCAGTATCAGGAAGAGAAGAGAAAAAAGCAGAGTCAATGGTTGTTCATCTTGGAGAGAGTCAAAGGTGGCAACAGCCCCCCGGGTGCTGTAAAAGACCCTGTACCCATACCCTGACTGATGCTAAACAAAGAATTCCACCCTTTTCAACTCAGGTTGCAATAAAGATACTTCATGGCACAAAAGCATATCCATCTCCTTATAAATGGCACCCGAATGTTCTCCCCCACCTTCTCCAGAGATAGATTTGTGCCTGGACTCCCCCGTGGGTGACATGAGAGCAGACACCTTATTTGGACAGTCACAGATAACCTGCGTTTTGTCCACGGATTATAAACAGGTATTTATAGTTCTAGGTCTCCCTCCCTGCCCCTTCCCCAAAAATAGGATACATTTTGACTTGAAATGGGTAAGGTATAACCACCCCCTAAAATAGCAAGTTAGAACAGAGTTTGTTTCATAGAGCTGCCGCCTGTCAAGGTAGTGCCCTTCCTTTGGGCACCTACGGTATCTAAAAAAGAAACAACAAAAAAAATATCTCCCCCCTCTGCCCATCATGGCATCTGCCCACATTATGGCCTCATGACAGCAGAGGACTGGCTCCAGTCCATTTCCTGACCATCCGGTTATTAATTATTTGGCTGCACGAGCCCTGCTGAGCACCATGTGCAAATGTGCAATAGGTCATGGACTCAGAATTGGGGTCTGGCCCAATCCTGATATTACAGAGACATTTTTAGAAAGACACTATGCATAATACGGCCTTCAGCAAAGCCTGGCCAACGGTCACACTTCATTCCTGCGACAGCCAAGACCTTTTCAAATGCAATCCAATAATACACAGTAGCGTTCAAACAAGTGACGGGTTACAGAGAGAGATGTGTTACTGCTTATAGTGCTCAGCTGGGCCGGCTTGGTTAGGGGCCGTCACGCTTTGCGTGCCAAAGTGTCTAGCCAACTCTGCAAGAAATCCCACAACGTTAGACAAGAGCGTACAGAACACGTTTCAACACCGAGAAAAAAAAAAAAAAAATACCCTCGCCCATACTGTCCCTTATGTAAAGTCACATTTCACTCGTTGTCCAGAAGCGAGAGCTGAGTTCATGTGAAACAAAGCTCCTACACCTGATTTCACACCAAGACCATCAGCAAACTGGGAAAAAATTGCTGAGATACTTGCAGAGGGGCTGCACACTGCAGTCATTCACCGCTTCAGGTTTTTCTCAACCCTCCCACCTCCCTCAACCCATTTGCATCTGCTCCACCTGCGAAAGGAGACAGCCACCATCGTACAGGAGATAGGAAAGCAAGAAACCAACAGGAATTGCCTCAGCTGGTAGACATGCTCCCGTGTACAGGCTTGGCTGGATTTAGAGCTGGTTGAACAAGGCATGGCCAGGAAGGGAGCCCGGACACTGGGCTGTTCCTGTCAGGAGCCACCTCTCCAGAGCTCAGTGGGAGAGCTGACATTGCAGGTGCAGAATATCCAAGGCATCCACGTGGGGCTGGTAGATATAGCACAACACGTGTTGGAAATCCAGATCCTGATGGCTTGGCAGCTAGCAGATAGCAGCAGACCTTCAGTCAGGAACAGGCATGTAGGCTTAGGCACTTGAATCACACCACCCAGCCAGGGCTGACCTCACCGAGGCAGACGTTTGAGTTTAATTGCCTATGTTTGAGAACCACCTCTAAACTTCCACTTGACTCAGTGGAGCCAAAGCAGGCAGAGGATCCTGCAGTGATGCAGACACATGCACATGCTCCACTGAACAGCTGTCCAGGCTCCACCGACTGTGCTGACCACATCTCTACTCACTACCAGGAGCCTCAGGACTCAGCTCACATGGAGGCACCTCAATTTAGGTATCTTAACGTGTGAGCAGTATCCCGCCCTCTGAGACAAACTCACATGTCTAAATATCAGCACCTAGCATTAACTGAGGTTCTGTAAAGCATTGCTCTTCACCACCAGCTGTCCCTCCAGGAGCATAAAGGTCTCTCTCAAAGGCTACTAATGCATATATTTAGGTAGATGAATCGTACTCTCCTTGTCTGGGCTTAAACAGTGATGAACAAAGCCCCTAATGAATCCCAGCCTGGTTTTTTCCTGACCCACTTCCAGCTCCTTGTTAAGCAGTGGCTGGGACAGCTTAAACGTCGTGCACCGGTGGACCAAAGCATAAAAGGTTTCTATTGTCCCTGTTCTCATGAATGCACAGTTCATGAAATCCAGCATGTGGATTTTCATACGGCCACTGTGCAAGTGGGGTGCATCCCAACCACCCCATAAACTTTTTCCTTGAAGGACCAGGAAGGGCTCGAGAATATTACAAGGCAGCTATAATGAAAACCCTAGAAAAACTTCTTCCCCAGCCAGCCTCCCCTGCTGCTGTCGGTCACGATGCAGCTACTCGAGGCGACGTGTGATGGAGAACTGCTGCCTACGGGCCCCTAACCACCCACGAGCCAAAATGAATCTTGGCAAAGCCCTTCTGTTTCCTGTCTCGCTCCCCAGCTTCCACAAAGACCTTCCTCCTCTTGTTGCAGACTCCTGTCAGAGACCCTTAAATCCACCTCATTCCTCCAGGAAGCAGAGCAAGACTTATCCAAGTCAGCAGGTTGCTTGGAGCAGCGTTGGAGAAACTTTTCCTGGCCGGGCCTGGGACAAATGGGCAAATGTCTAGGCTCATGCTTCCAAAGCTGGAAGGGACTTCCAGGATAGAATAA